TTCACATTTTTTCCCACGGGCAACGCCGGGCCCTTCAGCCAGTATTAAATAATTCCTTCTATTTCCTTAGTATACATTGATTCATATACCAACTTTGTGTAATTCATAATTAGCATAGGTAGCTAAAAAATTGTTATACATAAAGTTGTAATCTCTGTGCGTCTGTCTGTTTTTTGTTTGTATGTCAGATCATAACTCGAGAAAACCTTGACCGATTTGCCTCAAATTTTGATTGAGGAATTAGGAGCTCTGTTGAATCAAGGAAATGTTCTTAGCTTGATTTAACCCTATTCCAATTGGGCTATTTCTGTCTAATACAGTCTATAATTTTAGAGTTGAGATATGGGAGTGTGTCCCATAGCCCAACTTTCTAAGGCCTGCTTATTGAAAAAATTTATCTTTTATGGTTAGGGAGTAAGAAAGAACTTTTAAAAAAGTTCAAAAAGTACGTCGGAAAAATGTATAAAAATGAATATTTTTTGCTTTTGACAAATATTAACAAGTGACCAATGTCATTTCAAGGAGAATTCCTTTCAAGTTTGTTCTTTAAACATACTGTTCAGAAACTGTGCAAGCATAGTGAACTACTTTAAAGATTTGGGATTCACTACTCTTAACTCATGTATACCGGTCACAGTAGAGGGTATTCCTCCTATTCTTATACCAGGACAATTTGATTAGTATATTGTATATCAGACAGCTCTTCAGAAGTTGACTAACACCAATTTTGTTTGTGTTTATGTAGAAAAATTCAAACGTGAGATTTTCCTTAAGGAATTATGTAAGAAAATGTTGATTTGTTTGACATTACAAATCTGAATCCTTTCCTGGCAGCTGAGCGAGGTTGTTTGCTAGTTCCGTATGAACACATTAGAGGCACAGAATCAACCTCAGTTCTCTTCTTTGCTGATAGTATAAACAGTGCTGGTGTAGTTTCCCTTAGAGCTAGTGTTGAGCTGGTTGTCTGCGTACCAGAGAACAGTGTACAGGTGAGGGATCTGGGACCAGGAGTTCGTCAAATACATGGACTTAGAGGATCTCCTGCTCCCTTCAGAACTCTGAGGAATATTCTAAGTAAAGAAAACATACAGAAAACTGCCTGTTGTTCGGATGAAGAATTCACCAGTTCTGAAATTAAAATGTTAAAGCAAGAATTTCAACAGCTATCTCCCCAAGAGTATTCTGAATCTGCTGAGAAGCTGGATGAACAGTTGAAGGGGCTGAAGGAGGGTATCATCATGTATACTCAAACAAATGAAGAGCAGGCTAACAAACTGCTTTCTTTGATAGACAAGACAACAACAATGTTTATCTATGTACAGTGTTCTCGCTACACTGTAATTATTCAGTTACATCATGAACCAAGGCCTGCAATCAAACAAACATGATACAGATGTTGCATTATTCTCTAGATGAAGGAGGATTAAACAGTTTGGCAATTTTAAACTTAAAAAACCTTTGTTAATTGAAGTCTTAAACTATTTTGAATTGTTTTGTAATTCAAAATGTATTTAGAATTGATTCCATATATATTCATGATGATTTAACAGGAAAAAATATCCTATTAACAATGAATGAACTGCTAAATTATATCAAGATTATTTGTATACGGAGAATTATAAAGATGTATAGAGGACGTGAGTCAGACTCTAATAAAACGCATAAATAACTTCCAGTATATATATTTTTTATAACTTATTACTAGAGGGTTCAGAACTAGAGTCAATATCGATATCGCACGTGTAGACTGTAGAGATGATATCAGTACTAATGCCCCGTATCCGTTCTATCTCATTCTGTTGAATCTTGTGGAACTAGTTTAACGCGGCCAGGCATCGTCTTCCACAGATGGTTGATTTTCCGGTATTTAACAGAGCAGTTCCCGCATTTCTAGCTAAAATCAAATTGTAAGAGCTAAACATATTTATATTTTTATATTTTTTCAAATTTATTTTTTATTTAAACTGCTTCTTATTAATTGTTACATATGTTTATAACCATGTCTTAAACCCATCTGTTCACTGCAATAAACTGTACTGTGTGTCAACCTGCATCACTTCTTCAGAAAAAGTGAAACAAAAATTAAAATAATTGTTAAAATTGTTTCACTATCCTTATAAATGTTTGCTTTTTATTTATTCACATATATACTTAGTGATTTGGTATTTGTAGTATTTATCTATTAACGAATACTTTTTACAATTTAATCAATTTTTTGTTAAAAATATTTCAATATTAATGTTTGATTTTGGGAAAAATATATTTGGGAAAAAATATTGTTTTTTGGTTTTGACTAAAATTTACTTAGACAAGAAGAACTGGTTGAAAGATGGTTATTTAAAGTTATAATAGATGGAAATTAAACTGTTCTTGAATTTTTAACGATGCCTAAATTTATATTCATTTCTAGCGCGTTCAAAAGAATTGAGTCTTTGCCATAAAATCTATTTTTAATCTCCATATCTTTGCAACCCGATGTCGTAGACCTTAGATATTTCAAATTATGTCTTCCACTACATCAAATATAGTCGAATTTTGAAATATCCAAGATTTGCCCCGCCGTGTTGCAATGATATAAGAATTTAAAAATTTTATATTGTGGCAAAGACTCAGTTAATTTCCATTCTTTACAATTTTATTTAGAAAATCTGCTTGAGTGCGTAAAATATATCTTTGAGAAAGTATATATATTGTAGAGAGAGGAACATTTATGTCATGTAGAAAATTTAGGTTTTATTCAGAAATTCCCGATTAGCATGCGAGCAAATAAATTGAAAAATTGTTCATTAAACAAGCTAAAAAATACTTTTTTCTCCCTAAATCAAGTTTGACAGTCCTTAAACATATACCCTGGCATACAGTGAGACTCATAAAACTGTGGAAAAGGAAAGACAGCATTTAAATGTTATGCCATCAGAAAGGAATTATTTTTACGCCAAATTAAAGTAAAGGAACTGAACACTTGGCACAAACTCTAATTTTTAATCTCTATTTCTTTGCAACCTGATGTCGCAAATGTATGATATTTGTATTAACAGAATTCAGAATTTGAAATATCAAAGACCAACAACATCAAGTTACAAAGATATTGGGATTTCAAAATAAGAATTTGTGGAAATTGTTCAGTTTCTTTCACCCAAGGTTGAAATCTTAAATGTATTCAATTGCTACTTCTTATTAAACAGCGATTATAAAAACTAAATTCAGAGAAGCTATTGAAGTCACAAAGCTTTACCAGTAATGTCGCATAAATTTGACCTTCTTCTGAACATTGGAATGGGAATGGTTTTACAAGTAACTTGGAAATTAACTTGTTATGTGAAATGTGTCTTAGACTGTATACAGTACAATATAGTACAGTACAGTACAGTAAAGTACAGTACAGTACAGTACAGTACAGTACAATACAGTACAGTACAGTACAGTACAGTACATAATTACTTTTCATTCACATTCAATGCAGACTATTTAGAATGATAACAGAAATTCGTCTTCCATTTTCCCAGTTTTATGGGTCTCACTGTATATTCAGATTACAGAGATATTACAGGATCTATACTTAGTCTCTATTAACCCCACATAGATTGAGCCTGCTTATATAGAGTCTCATGAATTTTTTCAGACAGGGTCGACTTTGAAGTGTGCAACGCCTTGGGCTTTGATTTTACCGCTCTAACTCTCTTATGGATTTCTATAGCCCTTTACATGTAGATTTTAGAACTTTAAAAAACTTGTTGCTAGCGCTGATTTTTAAGAAGTAATTGAAAAAATTCTCATTAATCTTTGCTTGAGAGCGTGAGACCTTTCAATCACAGTGTCCCGGGCTAAAGGGACTGTAAGCCTATAATTTTAAGTCAAGATGGCAATGCCTGATTCAAAACAGTAGCCTTGATGCCTTTATATTATCAATAATTTATTAAATATCATAAGTTTTCCAGATTAAAAGTGTTTTATTCTGATTTGGTATTCAAAATTAAAATGACGACCTAAAACTCTTAAATTCTGACAATTAGAAGATGGTTGAATTTGGTATTCAAAATGCGTTCATTAATAGATATATTTCGGTAAATCAATTTACAAACATACAAGAATTGATATTTAACTAGAAATGCACATTTTTTTTACTAAAACAGTTACAATTTTGATTTTCTTTGGCCTCCAATGAAAATTACATATTAAAATATTAACTAAAAGTAAACCCATTAAATATGCAGCATCAAAACCTTATGAAAAATCTAATTTATAAATTTTTGTACCTTTTGTTAACGCTATTTATCCTGACGTCTGGTTTCATGTCTGTAACCCTAGGGGNTCCATTAGTGTTGACATACACACTACTCGAGGAAATCATCATATAATAAAACAAAATATTTTTCTAAAAGTTTTTTTATTTTATATAATTTTATAATAGATATAATTCTTTATTTGACTCTGAACTAACCAGGAAAGAGAAATATTAGGGGAAGGAAATAATGAATAAGAAATATTAAGGGAAGGAGAGAATGAATAAGAAATATTAGGGGAAGGGGAGAATGAATGAGAAATATTAGAGGAAGGAGAAAATGAATAAGAAATATTAGGGGAAGGAGAAAATGAATAAGAAATATTAGGGGAAGGAGAAAATGAATAAGAAATATTAAGGGAAGGAGAGAATGAATATGAAATATTAGGCTAAGGAGAGAATGAATGAGAAATGAAGAGGGAAGGTATAACTAAATGAGAATAAAGGAAGGAGGAAACAATGAATGAGAAATGAAGGAAAGAATGAATGAGAAATGACGAATGAATGAATGAATAATATAAATTTTCAGAACGTCGATTTTTTTAATTGATTCTTTTTGATATTCTCGACTCTTTTGTAAATTGTACCTGTTTAATAATGTACTGCAATTGTTAATAATATTGTACAAAAGGGCATTCACGTGAAAAGAGGAAAGAAATAAAATAAAAATTTTTTTCGTTTGAAACTTTTCATTTTCTCAAAATTTATTTATGTTCACTGAAAATTAATTATTTAAAATAAGACAAGTAAAAGAAAATAAAAATCCTTTTTTTTTGGACAATACATTGGTCAAATTCATTGATCTTTCTGTGTACGTGTTTACGTACATAGATACGATTGTCTTAAGCAGTATTGTCATGTGTACATCATCTCTGCCATGTACGACATCTTTTTAGGAAAGAACATCATATCCTCTAGGTATCCTGAATACACAAAACAAGTATAAATATAAAAAAATACATCTTTTTAGCTTTTACAAATTGTCAGTTTCTCCACAATTTATACGGAACGAGGCGGTACTTTACAATCTAAACAAGTCTGCAACAGAGAATTTCTAAACCGGTAAATAATTTATGCTATGATTATAAAGGTTTCTGTTTGCACCACTAAGTTCGGACATTTTTAATAAGGTTTTATGTACAAAAACTAAAATTTAGTTCCCTAGTATCAACTACTTACTATTTTGTTGACACTTTGTAATGTACATACAGAGCAATTCGATTTGACTGTGCTGTAATAAATTGCATTGTACTGCGCAGGTACTGTGCCAAACTGTAATGTACTGTACTGTACTGTACTGGGCTGGGCTGGGCTGCACTGCACTGCACTGCACCGAACTTTACTGTATTGTACTGTTCTGTACCGTTCTGAAATGCAAGTTCTGTACTGCTGAAAAATTCAATGTCTGTACTATATTGTACTACATTGTACCTGCCAAATCATCTGGGTTAACATCACTGTACTGCAGCCGGGCCTGTTCACTACATGTACTCATCAATCCAGTCTAAACAGATTATGTACGGATGAATTTAAGAAAAAAAACTAAACGTTCATTGTATATATTCAATATTGCATGGATTTTTGTAAGACATTCAACAACAAAAATGCAAAATATGTACTGCACGGTGTACACAGTCAGATTTGTGTAAGAAAATAACCGCACAATGTACATCGTATGTTGTACGGATTATAGTAATAGATTAACCGTGCAGTGTAAACTGTAAACTGCACGGATTAACTTGTTAGAATATATTTTCTTATATTAAAGGGACTGTAAGCGCAATTTTAAGTGACCCTCCATGCAAAGATGGCAATGCCCGATTTACAATGGTACCCAAAAAAGCTTTGTCTGATCAATTATGAATCATATATTAATATTTCTAATTCTTTAAACTGTTTATTTCCATTTCCGGTTTCTCTGCTAAAGTGACTTGCGCATTTCTTGTTTATAGGAAGCGATGGAGAAACTTTTTTATCAGAGTATGGTTTAAAGGTACCGTTGTAAATCGGGCATTGCCATCTTTGCATGGAGGGTCACTTAAAATTACGCTTACAGTCCTTTAATATAAGACAATAAATGTATATTGTACGGATTATTGTAAGATTATCGTAAGATTGACAATGTACACTGTACTGCATACCGTACAAATTAACGTAACATAAACAACTGTTAAGTATGTGTGGGTTCAGTAAGTAATAACAACATTGAAAACTTAATAGTTAACATTATGACGTCATACTTCTAGAGTTTAATTTTCATTACAAAAACCTTAGATGAATGAGTGAAAATTAGAGTTTGGAAAAACTTAACCCCAATCCGCACCGTTCACTAATAAAGAAAGTTAATAGCAGAGCAGGTTGCAATAAAGAATCTCACAAAATAATCTAACCAATCTTTATTTCTTTTCCATTAGTGTTGACTCCATATTATTAGTTTAAAAAAATGTAAATTTTTTGTTGGAATTGCAGTTTTGTCAATATTTGAATAGATAATGTTGTTCTTTAAATTCATCCAATCTAACTACAGAAAAAGAGAACTCTATTCTCAGCAGTACTAAAACTCTTATCAATTCCATAGTCTAAAATACTTGAAAAAGTTTTTTTTTCTCCTCAGAAACGAATTTTAATATGAATTTTGGAAAGAAAAAATGAAAAATGTATCCAAAAATTAAAGAATTTTCTTAACTAAAATACATATGTATTAACAGGCCATCATCGTACAACAGTTTTTGTAAAAATAATATAAACAATTTTGTATCTCTAAAATAATCTCGATACGGAGAAAACAAATATCTAGATCTTAAAAAAGTTTGAAAAAATAATTTGTTAGCGATAGAAAATAGTTCACCTTAATACTTTCAGTTTCAGGGGTAGTAGATCTTTTCCTTTTACCCGCACCTCTCTAAATATTATTGATTGATTGATTGGTTGGTTGTTTGTTTGACTGACTGACTGATTGATTGATTGTTTGATTAATTGCTTTCATCTTATATTTCCAAAATAGTCATCCAATCATTTTTTAATGATTTTTCCGATTTCCAAAAATTTGTTTTTTTGTCGTTCCATTATCTGTTAATATAATAAAGATAAATTACCGAATGACTGTTGAATGCTGGTCCGTTAAACTCATTCTTCCTCTCCTCCTCCTCGTCATTCCCCTGTTCCCTCAGGGAGATCTGGCTGAAACTCCCGAGGTCCTCGCTGCAGGAATCTCCGAAAACTTGACAATCCTTTGGCGGATTTTCTGTCACCAGCAAGGCCAGCTTACTTTTGCGGATTAGACATTTTTTCGAGGATTTTTTGGTTAATTTGTTGGAGGGTTTTCGAGCAACAACCTTAGTCTCACTGAGTGTAATAACGTGTTTAACTCTGACAGGTGCAGGACTGTCTGTTACCGATAAATTGTCAAATTTAACGGACAAAAAAGCTTCTTTTGTCTCTTTCTCTTCATACTCCGGGGTCTTCGTTGTCAAATTTTCCTAAATTTAAAAACGTTGTTTTTGCAAGTTATGTTTTAATATTTTCCTACAAAATCGATATTTTTGTGGAGAGGAGGGGGAGAAAACAAATATTTTCACCTGCTCTTCAGAAGCTTCACCTTCAAGCTTTAAGTCTCTGTCCTTCGCATTTTCAGACATTTTACATTAAACTGAAAATATAACAATCTTTAAAATCATTTTTAAAATATCAATAGCACCGTGAAATGAAGATCTCTATGAATTCTGGTTACTATGTACAATATTGATTATCAGAGCAAGTTCCAGGTGATCACGTGACATCCGTCAGTTACCATGGGAGACCCCCCGAGTTGAGGTTACATTGTGAAGATCACTTACGATCCCAGCGATCTTTTGACATCCCTGTGAACAAATGACATTTCAGTGTTAAATTGTTAAATTGTGTTAAATTCTGATGATCATGTGGCCTTAAAATCCAACATTCGGTAATCACATAAAATTCAGTGATCATGCAACATTCTTGTCACACGTATAATCGTGTGATATCTTGTTGATGTTTACGGGACATCCCTTACAGTCACGTGACATCCAGGTTACTTGGTTGGTATGATTTTCTTGAACTGTGATTGATCGATGATCTGGTATGAATTGTTCTTGTAGCTGGTGAGGTCAGCACACCTCTCCTCATGTGCATCACTACATACAATTTTATAGAAACTTTCACAAAGGAATTGAGTCTTTGCCACAAACTCTGATCTTTGCAATGTTAGAAATTTCAAACTATAAATTCGGTTAGATCAAATAAGTTTGAATCAGGTTGCAAAGATAAAGACAATTTGAGTTTGTGACAAATAGTCAATTCCTTTAAGATGAATTGAAAACGTAACACCGCCAGACGTTGCTGAATGTGATTGAAAGTAAGAACGCAATAGGAAACATTTAATTTAATCAAATTTATCAACATTTCTCTTAATAAAAAAGCTAAAAAAACCGTTAAAACTTTTTGAATTAAAGTATGATAAAAAGTTACAACATGCCGAAAGGAGCTCTTAAACAGATAAAATATTTTCTATAAAATGCCTCCCTATACATATTTTGATAAACAGGGTCTAAGGTTTCAATTCCAGCCATCTTTGCCAATTCGTCAATATACGGCCATTGCAGGGATCCCATCTAAATATTCAAACTTTTGTGGAATCTTTCTTTTGTTTTTAGAATTTCTTCAGTTTTGGTTTAATATTTAGTCAGTTCTGTTAGTTCGTTCTTTGATGGTGCAATGCAATGCAATGCAATGCAATGCAATGCAATGCAATGCAATGCAATGCAATGCAATGCAATGCAATGCAATGCAATGCAATGCAATGCAATGCAATGAAATGAAATGATCCAATGCGATGCAATGTAATGCAAATATCCAATGCATTGATCCAATGCAATTCAATGTAGTGCAATGCCAACTCGATTGATTTGTTAACAATTTGATGAAAATTTTGGTCTTTTGATTCTTCATTGTTTGATTGATTGATCGTTAAACTGGTTTTGTTATTTTTAATAAATTTTGTAATTATTTGTTTTAATTGTTTAGTTGTTTAGTTAATTGTTAAATTGAATAAAAGAAATATTTTTTTAAATCAATTGTTTTGTTTGTTCATGAAATGGGTCTGTTCACACTGCAAAATATCATGTTCAATGGACTATTAAAAGTCATAACTTAAGTCCTAACAGTCGTCTTCCTATTATTCGAGTTTCGGGTTCTCATTGTGTAGAAATTAAAATCAGATGTTGACAAACAGAGGTGCCATGAAAGACAAAAAAAAAAAATACGAACATTTATCCAAAGAGACAACAGAAAATCTAAAAGACGATCCAAATCCCATTAGACAAACACACTGCATTATTGAGAAGCAAACACATACATCCAATTAGACAAACATACCGCCAAAACAGACAAACATACCGCCAAAACAGACAAACATACCGCCAAAACAGACAAACATCAGCCAAAACAGACAAATAGACACCAAATAGACAAACAGACACAAAAATAGACAAAACCACACCAAATATCGTCTAATGATAGAAAAAAATCCGAGATTTTAGAATGAGCATATGTAGTAAGAAACGAATAGATTACCTAATAATGCCATAGTAGGATGTTCGATATTGACTAAATGTTTGAACAGCCCCTTAACCTAAAAACATGAAAATTACTTTAAAGAAATATAATAAAAAAATGGAATTAATTTTTTATTTAATATCTTAAAACTTTGACATTCGTATAATTTTTTCATTTTTAAAGCAAATTTACGAATTAAATAGTGATGTGGATTTTGGTGAATTGATTAAGAAAAAATTGACAAAAAAATGAGACAATGTATCACCTGGTTATTTTCCACAAATACGTTACAGTCTTCGGTTAGAAATGGAAACGAGAAATTATATCCTAAAGAAAAAAACTTAAAAACGTAAACGTAAAAATCTTAACATTTATATCTCAAAATCTTAACATTTATATCTCAAAATATTAACATTTATATCTCAAAAAAGTAAATTCAAATCAAAGCTTTCATGAAGATAAAAAACATAACTGTTTATAGTACAGTACAACACCTGTAGCTAGTACAGTACAATACATGTAGCCAGTACAGCACAATACATGTAGCCAGTACAGAACAATACCTGTAGCTAGTATAGTACAATATTTGTACTAGTACAGTAAAATACCTGTAGCTAGTACAGTAATATACCTGTAGCTAGTACAGTACAATACCTGTAGCGAGTAAAGTACAATACCTACATAGCTAGTACAGTACAATACCTGTAGCTAGTACAGTAAAATACCTGTAGCTAGTAAAGTTAATTACCTGTAGCTAGTACAGTACAATACCTGTTGCTAGTAAAGTAAAATACCTGTAGCTAGTACAGTACAATACCTGTAGCTAGTATAGTACAATACCTGTAGCTAGTAAAGTAAAATACCTGTAGCTAGTACAGTACAATACCTGTAGCTAGTATAGTACAATACCTGTAGCTAGTACATTACAATACCTGTAGCTAGTAAAGTAAAATACCTGTAGCTAGTACAGTACAATACCTGTAGCTAGTACAACACTATCACACTGTACCCTGCTACCATCTGTTAACAAGAATCCTGAACTACCAATACATCTCTCTATCCCTCTACACAATATCATCTTTACAAATGCAAATATTAAATTTTCATTTTCTTAAATATTTCATTGAAAATACAAATATTACTTTACTTTATTCAACATTCTATAGGTAACTCGTCAAGTGTAAGTTCAAAATTAATTCAATCATTGGATTTAATGTACATTTGACTTAATTTATTTAAATAAAAAAATATTCTATAAATTAATTTGTTATCCTAGTGGGCTTCATTTTCCCCCTAAAAGCTTCAAATTACTCATGAAAATATAATAAGTTTATTTGTTTAATTCAGTAACTAATTATCATTTCATTAATAAAATTGTACTGAACCTAATCTGAGCCAGGTTAGCTGGAAGTTTAGCAGTGATTAATGAATGATTATGCGACAAATAAACCTAAATAAAAATTTGAATTGTTGAAAAATTACCATCAGGGGCGTATTCATGGATTATTCCAGGCGGGGACTTGCATTTTTCTTTTCAGGGGGATGCTTAGCACCCGTTGGGGCCTAGAAACCTCCTTGGAAACCAAAGATTTTACTGATGCAGGGGGGAGGGGAGGGGATCTGTAATATCCCAATATATTAGGAGAACACTGGAGTTTGATCTACACTACTCTACAACGAAAACTTCAAATCTACAAACCAAGATTCAACNTTACCACAAAACTTCTCCTGTCCTGAAGGATAAACATAATATTAGGTAAACGAATGGACAGATGGATAGATGGATGGATAGATAGATATATAGATAGATAAAAGATATAAAAGATAAAAGAATCGAGTCTTTGGACAAACTCTGATTTTCTAACCCTCCATCTTTGCAACCTTTGCTAACCTTTGCTTAGTTTAACTTAGATTGTTTAACCTGAAAGAATCCTGAAGTTGAAATATCTACGACATTGGATTACAATGATATAGGGAAAAAATCACAATTAAAAAATTAACAATATTAATTCTTCTACACTTTCAAATTTTATGTAAATATTAAACTTACAATTTTAGTTTTCTGATGATTATTGATTATAGGAGATGGTTTCAAAAAATAGCTTGAATGGCAATACGAACTCAAACTGCCAAATGGTAAAAAAAATTGAAAATATAAGAATTTATTTCGTAAACCAGGCTATTCTTGTACCTAACATGAATGTTACTTTATTTTGTAAACATGTTTACATTGAAAAATTTATTTTGAAAATAATCATTGTTCGTCAGAAACGTGATTTTTTATTTTGCGTGAATATTTTCAACATTATTAACATAGATGATAGGATTACGTATAACATAATTGACATTTGGGCAAAATTGTTAATGGTGGGGAGGGGTGGGGTGTTGTATATACATTTACGGTCTTACCTTCAATATTTGGATAGATTGGTTTAGCATAGTGCCCGTTACAAACTACGATCTTATCAAACAGTTCCTGAAGTAGATTGGTTTAGCATAGTGCCCATTACAAACTACATCTTATCAAACAGTTCCTAAAGTAGATTGGTTTAGCATAGTGCCCATTACAAACTACAATCTTATCAAACAGTTCCTAAAGTAGAAAACGCGGCATGTGCGTAACTCCTTTGAGCTTCTGCCTTTAATCAATCAATAAGCCAACAAATCGACCTACCAACAAACCAACCAACCAATTAATCGACCAACTAACAAACCAATCGTCCAACCTCTCAAAAACAAATAACCAATTAACCAACCTATCAATTCGTTAACCAATCAATCAATCATCCAACTTTAAAAGTAAATTAATACCTTAGATAAGATATCTGTTTTCAAACATTTATACTCCACTTCCCAATTCCCATTTTCAAGTTCTGCTTGTTCTTTTCCTTCCCCTGGTTCTCCATTTCCTTTCTCCAAACCTCGTTTTCCATTCTGATGTATGTTCAACGGTTTGATCCTCACTACCTTGTTATATCAATTAGAATCTAAATTATCAACACAATAAAAGCAACCAATAACAATTTGTAAAACCCTACTTGCATTATTTGAGTTTGCTCATGCCTCAAGGCAAGCAAGCGATGGAGAAAAAAAATTACTTCCAACTTGGTATTTTTAACCTATTTTCTTTTAACTTTTTTCTCCAAAATCATTCTTAATAGCTTTAATTGAAAAAAATATTTTTAAAAATAATTCAATAATTTTTGAAACTTCAAATTGTTGATTGAATTAATATATTTCCTTTGTATCGAATTTAATATATTTCTCCAGGCCGAATCTTTCCACATTTTCTTCCAAGTACTCGAGAACCTGATAAACAGAGATTCAACTTTTGAATCTTTCTCTTCGATAAAACCAAATTTTTTTTTCGAATTTACGTGAAGTTTTTGAGACAATTTTTGTATATCTGAGCATCCATAAACCTTCCCTGTGGTCATGACAGGTCCTGCACAAAATTTGGACCCGATCGGCTAAGCTGTTTTAACGTTTATCGGTTACAAACAAGTAAAGAAACAAACAGACAAGTAAAGTATATGTATATATATATATATATAGACAGGAATTTCATAGATAATTAAAAACTGCATAATTAAACAAGATAAATTCATGCTTCGGAAATTATTGAATAAAAACAAAATCAAGTAAAATAAATAAATGAATAAAAAATGTAAAATGATGAAAGGATAACGGATGGGGGACAAATAATTAAAAAAAAGAATGAAAGGATGAAAGCATTAATGAAGGAATAAACTTACTATGTGAATAAATTGGAGAAGAAAGGATGAATGAATGAATGAATGAATGAATGAAGGGATGAACTACCTGAGAAGTAAGGATAAATGAATGAATGAACTACCTGAGAAGGATGAATGAATGATGAACTACCTGAGAAGGAAGGATGAATGAATGAATGAATGAACTACCTGAGAAGGAAAGATGAAAAGAATGAATGAATGAATGAACCTGTGAATGATGAATGAATGAATTGTTGGATGGATTGAATGGAATCCCTGGAAACATCATGAGCTCCTTTGGTAGGTTTGTTTTTAAGTTCTTGTACATACTCGAGTGTACAGGCTCTCCCCTAGATAAAATCATTATTAGATATAATAATATTTAACAGTGTACACTGTACTGTATATATTCTGGTCGGATCAAACAGCTGGTGTTTTTAGAAATGCATGTTCGGCGAAATACAGGGTGTATATTTTCTTGAAAAAACATCCCCCCAAACGGGAAAAATAAATGATTTTTGGGCAAAATATATATATATATTGGGGTAAAAAGTATCAAAATGAATTTAAAAACATGCTTTTTGATATCCATTTTCATTTTTTTCCCCCAAATCATCAAACATCATTGGTTCTGAAAAATATACATCCCTGGGCCGTAAAAAGGGCAAAATATTCATATTTTAACATTATTTTACCTATTATCCAACCCTGTATGTTCCTGATAGACCCATGTCCCCCCAACACAGCCAGTTTGCTCAAATACTGTCGGACAAATTCTAAACAAAATTTATTTTAAACTAGCTTGAGAGCCCAGCGTTGCCGAGGTTAACTCTCGTCGCTTACCCGCGCTTGGTCTTAAATTATTATTTTTATCAAACAAACCACTCAACTGAGAATCTCAAAAGAACAAGCTAAGAACATTCCCGTGGTTTTCCCGAGTACCCCAATCAAAATTTGAGGCCAATCGGTCAAGAGATTTATGATTTAAGATCGGACAGACAAACAGAGATTACAACGTTGTATATATAGAAGCTGTTTTTTGTGTGCAAATGAATAGGTTTATTGATGAAATTAATATATAGTTATCTGTATGCATAATTCCGATTGCATAAAGGAATGAAAGAAAAATTGTGGATTAATCAATATTAAAAATTAAATATGCAAAATCAAGGCCTTTTCAGAGACTGATGACGTAATTTCGGGCGGCCTTCTTTTTCCAATTAAAAGTTCGATTCACAACGATACTTTAAAAGGCTTTGTCTAATAAGTGTGAATTCTAGATATCCATGTTAATTTTTTAAAATCAATTTGTTTCAACTGTGGTTTTCCTGAAACATGTGAGTCATGCGCATTTAAACTGCAGAAACAATGGGAAAGTTCACAATTTTAAAGTTAGCTAATTTAGTTAAAAGTTGGAAGGGTACTGTTGTCATTCGGGCATGCTCCTCTAGAAATGGAGAGTCATTTTAAATTACATCTCTGTCAGAATCTTGA